CCAGAAATATGTTCCACCCTGGATCAATATATTCCTTATATTAGCCTCACAAATTAATTTCTGTCTGAGGTTCTAAATATTTSTGACCTCAGCCAGTGAGGTGATTAATTTTAAATTTTCAGGTGCACTCTGAAGTACACACTTTTGCAGGTTATGTGGACTTAAAGCTGCAGAAAACCTCAGTTTGATTTCAGTCTTTCTGACTCATGTGCCTAAAACAAATATCCACTTCCAAAGATAGACAAAGGCATTCAGCCTCCTGGGACTGTCTCATTATAATCTCCAGGAACAACAACAGAACCAAAAGCCTTTAAAAGAGTCAAGAACAYCAGGGTGCTACAGACCTCAGCAAACACTAAAATCTTCACTAAAGCCTTTTCTCCAAACTATAATGAGTTGTTACCTTGGCTGGTGTCCTTTGACTAAGTAAACAYGCTTCCCTTAACCTCTGTCTGACTTTTCTCTCTCTGTAGGGAATATGTGGTCTCTTTCTCAGGAAGGTACTGCTCTTTATTAATTTTAATCTTTTCAGCCTAACTGTGGGAATCCTATGAGCCTCCCTTCTTACTCCCTATGCATTTATCCTTACTCCCTATGCATTTATCCTTACTCCCTATCCTTACTCCCTATGCATTTATCCTTTAAGGGAGGGATTCAAATCCAATGGTCCTATCAAAATAATTCTTGCACTTCAGTAAACAAGAAAACTTTCCGTGTTCACCTCAAAAAACCCATCCATTTCACTGCAAATTCAGCTAGCTCCTGCAACAAAGCGCTAAGTTCATTATTTTTTACAAGTACCTGCAGTCCTGTCTACTTTCATACTACACAATATCAAGAAGTGTTTGAAAAAAATTAAAAAAAAAAGAAAAAGAAATTCTGCTATGATATGYAACAGTTAAGTACATACAACTGATCTACTAAGTAGCTTAATTAACAGTTTCACTCACACCCACAAAAAAATTGCTTCAGATCACAAGAGAAGCTGATTATCTGAAAGGCAGTAAAAGGTTTTTCCTTCACTCCGCAACTCCCACTGATTTGACCAGATAGAGAAGACTTAGGGAAAAATGGGATCCAAAATGCCAGAAACTGGTAATCATTATCCAGTGTATTGAATGTGCTAATTTACTGTTTCTTCTCATACAACAAATTTCATATATTAGATAGAAGTGATCCTAACTATACTAGCAAAATGCTTCCCTATCACATGTGTTTGTCAAAATTATTTTTTCAGCAATATCACAGTAATTAAGCTACTTTGCATGTCTTGGTCAATTTGCTAGTTTTGGCAAATTTCTAGGAGCTCACATTCAATGGAATGGCCATGCATATTTTATATACAGTCTAAATTTTAAAAAAACAAACAAGAGGTAAAAATGCAATACAATATCAATAGAATTTTTAGCCAGTATGTTCTTCTACTTCAGTTTTATAATTGGCTACTGACTGCTTGTAATTTCACCCACATCTTATCTACGTAAGTATTTGCAATGAAAGAGACCTAACTTCTATTAGTATCTATTTTTTGTTACTGTAAATTCTATTGATTTTCTCTATTGATTCCAATTTTACTCCAGTTTTTAATCACATTGTTTTAAAGTTTAAGGATGCTGCTTCACATGTCCTAAAGAATGTACAAGAGCTAGAAGACATTCTAGTTTAGACATTCCTTAGAATATCAGTCTTTCACTAGGCAGTACACAAAACATGAAACTCAAGTCCTTTAAGTCCCCTTTCCACACCTTTTACATCCTTATCTCAAGTCAGGTATGTCTGACAGATTTCTTGTCTCCCTCTGGATACTTAATACATGGTAAAGAGAGGAACTGTTCAGCAGCTGAAGAATACCCCTGGTAGTAATATCACATACAATTTCACCTGCCACACAAAAGCACTTTTCCTGTCAAAATCAGTCCCACTGTCTTTTGCCCATAGATAGCCATTTCCATTCTTACAATGAGCACGCAACCTGCGGCAGAATACAAGCACATGCATTTGTGCAACTGCATGACAAACTGCATTAGAAAACTAGTCTGGCTTACAAACAAATCACCAGAAATAAAATAGTTATGTTTATCACAATCTAACTCTCACCATGCAGCTGAACTTAGAATTTTGCTAGCCTCCCTCAYGGAATGACACAGAAAATAGAAGCTTCCAGAGACATAGGGAGTAGGAACTACTTATTTGGCACCACTTTTGGCTTATGTCAGTTGAAAGCATATGTGAAATTGCAGTCTTGCTTCAGAACTGTGGCTAGAGTTCAAGAGCAGAGTTGAACTCTGTTCAAAATTAAAGAACTGAGGTCAAATGTAATTTTCCACTCTACAGTCACTGCAAACTAACAGAAAGCAAATCTCATCACAGATATAACAAACTCACCAGTAATCAAGAAAAAGTGCAGGACTTTTTAAAAGGAAAATTACTACTCATAGCTAATTCAAAAGACAATACAGGTGTACAAGAGTAGAGAACCAAACTGTTTTTATCAACCAAAAAGTGAAAATCCTTTTCCAACATGTTGTAAAAGAAACTTGCAGAAAGGTCTAAACTTAAAATTATCCATGACTTTCCATTACATAACCCTATTCTAATTTTCTTTTAACTTGCCGAGAAATATCTGTCATTTGTTGTCTCAACTGATGTTTTGAAAAATATCAGATACAACCAGTCCAGCTACCCACCAAAACAGTGTAAGTTTATTCATATAAAAAAAGTCCTGTAGCTCAGCTCTTTCCTTATGATCTCCATTACTACCAACTACTAGAGAAGGAATTCCTTTTATGTACTCTAGAATGGTCTTCTAAGTAACAAAAGGGAGGCTATGACTGAGAAAAGGTTATACTTGAAAGTCTTAAGTTAAATAAGTGGAACTTCTGATATGTATTTCTGATAYTAAGTTAAATAAGCTGTACTTCTGATATAGTATTTAATGTAACAGTAAAGCTTACCTTGAGGGTTTTTCTCAGCAGCATATACTAGTAACCACTATAATTGAAATTACCAAGGAGGTGAGCTGTGAAGAAGAAAGATTCCTGTGGCTTCGCCCAGATCATTATTGCAAACAAAAATCAGTACTTACTACCACTAAGTAGTAAGAACATCACCAYCTTTCAGTCAAAACAAAAAAGAAGCCCATCATACTTCACATTTGGTTACATTTCCATTACCAAATTAGAAAAATGTTTTATTTAATAGATTATGCATTTCAGAAAAACTGGAAAACCCAAATCTGGATGCTTCTGAAACTGCCACTGTCATTTGGTTAGAACAGAGGAATGAAAACTGCATTTTCTCAATTTTTTTTTAGCTATCTAACATAATTACAACATGATGTTATATATCAAAAATTAAATTCTAAAGACTGTCCAAAGCAAAACCTGATTTTAGCAAGTCAAATTTATGATTATTCACCTAATTTAACACTTTTGTATTTGTATGTTTATAAGGTAAACATACAATTTTCCTGATAATTATTTTTTTCAAAATCTGTATCTCACTTTACTGTTTCCTCATAAACACTTCTGCAACAATTAATCTTAGCCCTTTTTCTTTATGTAAAATTTCTAACACAAGTGTTTAGAGACCCAGAATCATGATCTGAATAGGTCTACACAAGGACAAAGAAAGATTGTCCTTACCGCACAACTTCTGAATGTTGAATGAGCTGTATCTTAACTGCCCTGTACTTAACTGTTTGGTTTTTTTAAGATGGTGCAATTAGAACTAAACATAGTATTCCTGCTGTAGTCATGCAACTTACTTACATAATGACATTATCAGATTTCAGTTTAAAGAGCAATTATGACATACTTAGCATTTGTCTACCCTTGAAGAAGTCTTGTTCCTACAGTTTTACAAGCAGGAGAGAAGTCTCACCTATACTAAGATCACTGATATGCTGTAGCATACTCTTACTTTTGGATTTTTATCCTATTGCTGACATCGCCTTTCTAATAACCTCCTGGCATTACTACAACAAAATCTGTTTGCAATTTAGCAGCTACAAAATAATGTCAAGATTAGGCTGGTATTACTCCTTTGTATATATTAACAATTATTATGCTGTCTGCACTTTCAGAATCCTAGCTTGTACCTCCTCCTATCACATCTCTCCCCCCTATTTAAACAACTTAAGGATATATTGGTTCTGCACAAGAATATAAACATTCACTTGAATTAAAAGCCGCCTAATTCCTAACAGATAGAAAAAGCAACATTTCTTGCTACTTTTTTTTTTTTTCATTGAAATGCCACTATAGAAGTGGCTACCAAAGATTCARTAAATAGAACTACAATGAAAAAAAGTAAGAGGAGCTCACTGTAGAAGGCCATTTAAATGAGTCCTATTCATGTATTTAAACCCACTGACTATCTTAATTAGAATCACTGCCTCCTACAAAAGCCCAAACATACTGGACTCTCTTGTCTAATCATTACTCCTTTGAGGCTTTCAGCTGCACAGACTGGGCGATCCAGTGTATATTGGTAAAATTGTAACCTAATCTGGTATCAAAAGCCAGATAGCATGCTTTTTGGTATAAACGCCTTCCGGCACAAACATTRAACAAAGAAATTTTAACAAGTTACACACTAAAAAAGGGAAGTAAGAATTCTAGCTCACTAGAAGTTCTGATCAGCACTGCATAGGCAGGTACAAGAATCCAGTCTTGTAGTTAATTACTTGTTAGAAGTTGTCCTCAGGAAAAAATGATCACATGTTTAATGGAAATGTACTATTCGTTCAGGTATTACCATTATTCATATTTTGCTCTCGCAGGGAAAAGTGCTAACACAGTTACTCAATTCTCTTATCATAAAAGCATTGAGAACAGAGCATTACATACAGGAAAGAAAAGRATTACAGTCCCCAGGTATTAACATCAGGAGGTTTCATGCAGTTACTGAATAGCACAACAAACTTCAGTTGACAGGCCTCAGCAAGTAATTGGCACTGTTTTATATCCACACAAGAGAAAGCTTTTAATGTCACATACCGATTTCTTTTTAATGTCCTCCAGATCTTTGAGTTCATTCTCAATCTTTGTGATTAATTCCCTGAGTTCATCAAGATTAGTGCAAATAAGCTAAAAAACAAATGAACACAAAACACTTGGTGATTTGGGACTTGGAAAACACACAGTGAAAGTAAATAAATTTTAAAAGCACATTATTACTTAGTGCCACCATTTGATTTTTATTTTCTTATAGTACTTTTAAATGCAAAAAAAAGTCAAACAAAAACCCAGGACTTTTTGAGAGAAAGAAAATCTAGGAAGAAAATATTCCATGCTTCAGACATAAACCATATCTCTACCTGTAAGCTTCCACTTCAAAATGTAATCATGTCCTTAAAAAYTGTGTGAATGACAACTACCAAATTTGTCTCAGGTACAATAATGAGTTAGAACAGCTATTACTACCAAACAACTCCCTGGTGAATTGAAGTATACTAGCTTTGTAGTAAGCTGTGCTTGTAACATATTACACTCGTTACAATTTTCCTGAACATAATTCTATATGATTACACAGAGTATTCCATCCCTGCATATGTTCAAGAGGCACCTGGATCTCTTGATGTGGTTTGGTGGTTTAGGGGTGACAGTGGTAGTGCTGGGTGGACAGGACAGTTGCATCGGGTGATCCTGAAGGTCTCTTCCAACCCTGATGATTCTAAGACAACCTACTTATCTACCAAACCTACCTACTTAACATATGTTTTGAAAAAGTATTACGTTCTTATTCTTGTCTTTAGAAATTAGCTTTTTACATTTTTTCCTTTCAGAAAATGGACATAATTTTCTTGGAAAAATTATCAAACAAAGATGATCTATGTATTTTGTCTTACCATCATCTAGGGCAAGTTAGGACTTAATAAGCCAGAAATTATTAAGGTGTGATGTTCTTTCAGGTTATCTTATACTAAGACTTGCTTACTCTGAACAGCCTTAGATGGACATGTTTTCCTCATTACTGAAAACAAGTTGAAATAATTAAAGGGAATGAAATTAAAAAAAAAAACAAAACACACAAAACTCACCCTCACAAAAATGATTTATCATACAAATACTAAGCATTTTTTCCCAAATCAGTAATCTATAATAGTATATTTTTACTTCATGTGCAGTTTTAGATCTTCAGCAAATTCATATTAAAAAAGGCACCTTGCTAAAACACTTATAGCAACATAAATTCCAGAAAGCTCTAATGAATGCATACCATTATTTTCATAATGTTTGAAACAYTGAGGAAAAGCAGTGACTCAAACCAAAGTTTACAGTTTTCATATTTATCAAGTATAGAACAGCAAATTAACAAAGAAATTGGCAGTATCCTTCCACAGACAGTGGAAAATTTAACTTGAGAAAGGTATCTCTCTTAACCAATAAAACAGAATTACTGTGTGCAACTCTATAGGCTCAACATCCATGTCCTGCACTTAAAGAAGTTCCAGACACATAAAATATAAACTGAAGCCAAATACTGGTTTTGTCTGGCCTGTGAAGAAATCTGTAATACTGTACTATTAGGCAAAAAATTACATCATGAAGTCCTTGACAAAAGTCAACAAAGGCACAGATAAAGGTTTTCCCTACATAATTATAATCCATTCTTTTGACTATACACCTGACAATTTAATTACTAAATTTTATCGATCCGCTGTATCTTCTTATATGAGACGAATCCAAAATACATCAATGGGGAAAACAATGCCAATATATATAAAGTTTAATTGTCTTGGGAGTGACATGCAAGAGTAATCAAATCTCTAAGTTCCAATTTTCATCAGATTAGACCCTGTTCTCTAGAACACTATGTGGTGGCTTAAAGATTCAGATTGTAAACATTTACATTAATATACAGAGTATCTCATTTGCTGTGTATATTTTTGCATGTTACCTGCAACAAAGGCACCATCACATCTGGCATAGTACTTAATACATAGGGRCTTATTTTTCACAGGCAATAAGCATCCTGTTTTTCAATTTTATATATAGTGGAAACTTCAGATACTCAGTAAAACTTCAAATTTGGTGTTCAACTTTCATGTCATGATACAATTAATATCTCAAAGACCCTCAYTGACTCCTAGAACTTCAAGGAAGAAAGACAAGAAAAATCTCCCCTGAATTTTTTAAGGAAAGAAAGGGAGACGAAGCTCTATTCCAACTTGGGACTCCCCTGTTACCCATTTATAAATAAACACTTTTCTATCATAAAACCATATCTAATCTGTGGATCTACTGAWAAATACAAATCTAGTATATTCCCCCAGATCACTGATGCTCTTTCCTTGCCCCCTTAGCTTCAGACAAACTTTTTGCATAATTTTTACTCCCTTCAACAGGGTCTCATGCTTTACTGCAGGTTATTTGTGTAATGATTGTTATTTGTAATGGCATTTTATATGAAGCTGCTTATTAATCACTGACACCTATGTGCGGAAAAGTGTCCAGACAGCCCCCTTTTGAGATCTGTATTAATACAGACCTGGCTAATAAAACTGAAATTGTTAAAGACACACTGAAAAAGAGTGTGCACGTTCCTTTTTCCTTAGTTATCACACATGTAGGTCTATATGGCTACATACCAATTCACATGAAGTGAAAGGGGAAAAGACTGAGTGAAGTACTGGTTACCAAACCGAAATATACTCTGTAACTCGCCAAAAAAACCCCACAACATATTAATGTTCCTTCTGCACAGCAGTATAGCTACTGTTAATTTATTGAAAATGTTAATGAGCAACCGTAATAAGAAACTTGGAACTCAGAACAAGCAAGAAACAACTAAATCATGATCTATGAAGCTGTAAATCCACTTTTCCAATTATTTGCTAAATATTAAAACCAGGACTTTGCTTCTGTGTATTTTAATATGGTAAAAAGAATTTAATTTGCATGTGCTTTTGATTTATTTTGTTGTTTGTAGGGTTTTTTTTKGTTTTTTTTTGAAGCAGCCCAGAGCTAACGAATTAACATGAAGTCTGAAATCATATAAGGAAGGAATGATGTTCACTGACCTACACTTTTGCTGATTTGTCCATGACAAACTAACCATGCTAGAGAGCAGAAAAATGATGTAGCATGCTTTCAAAATGTTACATAAAAATGGCATCCTAAGTATTAGATGAAGTACAACTATTACCTCCTGAGTTTTTGTTACTGATTTGTGTCACTGCACATATTAAAAGACTTATTCATACTAATTTATTTAGCTTCAATGCCAAATCATAATCTTCAGGTAGACGATCTATACTTAAATACAGAATCTAATCATAAAATAAAGTGCCTTCTGGTTGAGTTTCTTTTTTTTTTTTTTACATTTATAGGCTGCAGGCACACGGAACATGCTATACATATTCATTTATTAACTATCATTCCAAAAGAACTGATCTGTAAACATATTCATTTATTAACTTTCATTCAAAAAGAACTGAACTGTAAACATGAATAGCAATATTCTTGTGTTTATACCCTCCCAGCATATCTCACACAGCCTGTATACACTCTAAGCTGTTTTACCAAATATTTAAATATATACTTGTACCTTCAACCAGTCACATAATTTCATAAAGTCTGGCCATTTGTGTATGTGGGGAAGAGTGTATTGAAGCATACTTACTAAACTCCGAAAGTATTAGTGTTTTATATATATATAAATATATATATATATAATATATATATAAATTATATATATATAATTTTTTTAATATTTATAAATTCTAACTGTCATACTCTTGAAAGAGTCAGGTTAACACGTTAAAAAGCTGTTAAATTGTTAAAAAGCTCCCCAGTAAAAATAACTTGTTCAATACTAATCAGTGTGAGCATCRCCTAAAACAGATATGAGTCCCAGCTTTGATCAAATAGCCAGAAGTATTTTGTTACATTTTTATGAAAGGTTTTACAGAAGATAAATATACACTTGGATAGGTATGTAAATGTACATATATTTTATCTACTAAAGCTAAAAGGTTGGGCTAAGTTTTAGACAGTGTTTTACATAGACTACTTAAATGCTGTAGTTTAATTATGTAAGAAATTATTTCTAAACTAACTGTATATACTCGTAGGATGCAGGTAATGTGTTTGGAAAAAAAAAATTCAGACATTGTACCTATATTTTGGAGCTATTAGGAAACACTTTAGTCACTACCATTTCAATATAGACAAAGTCAGTGTACACTTAAATATCAGTTGTTTCTCAACACTGACTGTTACGAATCAATCTTAACACCACAAATAATACTAGCTCCATCTTAAACACACGATCATGATGGAATCAACTGATTCAGGCTAAGGATATTACAAAACAGTCATGATACAATGAGACTCCACTGGCCATACTAGTAGAGATGGCTTTCTGAAGGGGAAAAAAAAAGATAGCGAAAGGAGAACTTCAATCCAAGCAGCCATACAAACAGAGAAAGCAACTTAAAACTGAAGTCCTGTAACACTTCTACTACAGCACCATAAAACCACATTAGCATAATTAATACTCTTGATGCTTTCTAGAGCCTAAGAAATCCTAGAGGCCTAGAAATCATGTGCCRATAAGCAATAAAAGTTGCAAGCAGGATGAGCACAGCTGTCTATAAATTTTTTGCAAGTCCTTCAATTAACCAAACCAGATTTCAATTCAAGAACCACATTGTCACACCTCATACAAAGGCAAGTAATTTTATCCCAGAGAATTATGTCTACTTTAAAAATGTCTTTAACAAGTCCTAGTTTTCATAGGTTTCATACTGTAACAGATACACCTGGAATCTTCAACARCACTGAAAACAGTGTTCAAGCCGCACAAAACAAAAATGGTAAAATATTCTCTACCTAGACAACATGAAATGTACTCTCAAAAATATCATCAGTTTAAGCCTTTAAAACTAGAAAAAGGAAACTCAGCTTCAGTTCATATTTCCAAGGTCTCTTTCTAAAACTAAAGGACTTATTTAATAGACATTCAGATTTCAAGAGCTTAAACCAAAAATYAAAATAATTTACCTGAAATTCTGGTATGGTAGACTTTCTGACATCTTTCCTCTTCTTTGTGATTGCTTTTTTAGCTAGTGACTTTTTTCCTTGTAAGATTAAAAGAGAAAAGCTTCATAATGCTGTTCGTTGTACTTTATTAATTAAACCAAATTACRCACAGACTTGAAAGTTAAACTGCAACTAACAGATGGCTTACAGTAAGTCACATAAACATGATGAATCAGAACTAGACTCAGCAGAAACAAACATTAAACAACTATCTGTGTAGTGAAGTATTTTGTGTGGGGTGGAAGGAAAAAAAAAGAAAAATAAAAAGCCGACTACAATTTCAATAATACAGCAGCTAAAAATCTAAGTCATAAAAATAACATTCATAACACTCTTCTGAAAGTAGTGAAATATAGAACTTAGGGCACAAACTTAAGAAATACAGCATCTTACCTTCAACATTTATTTCTCTAACACTGTAAAGAATCACACATTAGGCTCTAGGATATCTGTATCTCATAGTTAAAAGATACCCTCAAAATATAAGCAATATCTAGAAATTCATGATTCAACATACTGAAATTACCAAGGGAATTAGATTGATTTGTTTTCTCTGACTGTGGCAGTACCAAAAATTTCTAGAAGAACGCAAACAACTTCCTATAATGCACTTCACACCCAGCTGTGCTACATATGAACATGGATGCAACAAAAAATCTCTTTGAAGGTGAGGCAAATGCTTTACTACCTAYACTATCAGAGTTCACAAGTGATCTACATTTCTCAAGTCAAGTTGTTATGTCACAACACAATAAAGTTTCTTATATGGTTATTTCTACATTCATATGGTAAATTCAAATAAGATCACTTTTAACTTGTTCACTCAGGCCAAAACCATCACTCTAACRTTATCACTTGTTCACATTCAGGAATCCTAAATAATAATTTAAAACCTTAAACAAAAAGAGAGTTTGAAGAAAATAATCATACAATGTGGAATTAGTTGTCAACTAGCAGGATTACAGTGACTTGGTAATAACATAAGCACAGGCAGATTCAATATTTATATTCCTGAAAATATTGGCAAAATTGCACTTAACCTTCCTTCTAATTGATACTTTATGTGTGTACAAATGCATATATATATTCATAGATGCCTATGGATCTATACTTCCAGTTTAATACACTGTGAGTTTCCTGAACATCTTACCTGACTCTGAAATAAACACAGTTATGGGACAAGGCAGAGGGCTTGAAGAATCTAGATCTGAAACTCCACATAAAATCAAATTATATTAAAATCAATAAAACAACCCAGAACCTCCCCATACCGAACATACTATAAATTTTAAAGAGCCCTCAACTACCAGAAATGAACACTTACATATTTCACATTAAAGAACAAATGATAAAAAAGAAAAGCATATTTATTAGAACAATAACCCTAATGTTCTGACAATGGTCAAAAAAAATCAGCCTTTTTTGTAATACACTGTATGAATACAGCTGCTACTACTGGGAACAGTGCTGTTCATTGAATGAACTAAAGTAGATGCTTAGAAGCCTTCTTGACAAACTGACTCAAAAAAAAGTCAGGTCATACGGTGGTTCCTTGTTATAGCCCTGTAAAAAATGTTATCTGGAAATAAAATAAAAAGACAGAAAGTTAGGCAGCTAGATTACCTTGCTTCTTTACAAAAAGGAAAATTTTAATAAGTTTAAAATGAAATTTTCATTTTACTTAAATATTTCAACAAGTATTTACTGGACTATTTTCAGCATCCAGTGCTATATGATGTGTGATGCAGTGTAATTTAAAAAGTAACAGTTAAACAGAAGTATTCTTTCTCTTTTCCCAATACATTCCCCAATACATGAAAAAGAGAAAAAWTTTTTTAAAGAGTTGTAAATAATTAGAAACCCAAATAAAATAAACATTTCTTCCTTCACATCAGCATCTGAAAAGCATGAAGTAGGAATAAAACAGGGTAACAGACAGACCAAGAATTAAAAGAAACTGTCTAGAAGCACAAGAAAAATAAGCTCATTAAATTAAAATAGAGTCTGACATATAAAGCATACCTGTTGGAACATATGTACCAAAACACCTACACAATTTCCAGGCTGACAACTGCCATGAGCTAAGCATATATCTTATAGAGCAGCACCACAGTCTTTTCCCCATTTTTTAACACCAGATGTCTTACGGTGCAGGCACTTTTTTATATCATGTATCAAAAACTAAGAAAAAAATTACAGATATTTGTATGATGGGAAAGAATATATACAGCAAACTACTTATGGCAAATGCATCTTCTACTTCAGTAATACTCTTCTAAAATACAAAATTTATATTAGAAAGAAGTTGTAGTGGTAGTACTGATAATCTCTCCCTTTCAGAAAAGCTGGTATCTAGTTTTCCAAAAATTATTTCTCAGCTTCAAACAATAGTAACAGAAACCAAATCTTTCACAACCAGCACTTATCTGTAATACCTGTGTATAAAAAGACACCTTTGGAACCCAGAGGTATGATGGTTTGTGGATTTCCTCCAAGCACGCAGATTTCCCAGTGTAATAAACATGAGCATCTTGTCTATGTAATTGGTCGTACCACACCCAGCTACTAACCCTGTCTTGGGATAACTGAAACACTATTGAATGGCAACTCCTCAAATCACTCTACTGAGGTCTGCTACAGGTCTTTCGTCCACAATCCTGGGAAAAGAAACTGTTTCAAAGACTGAGTTTAATTACTGTGTAGATGAAGTTTCTGCCAGCAGCAAGATCAYAGTACATTTTGAATCACAGTGCATTCTACCTTTCAGAGCATACGCAAAGTACAAATATATTTAATTGCTGACTAAAAGCAATCAATTAGAAAAATCTTAAAACCTTATTAGAAACTTATTAAGCCTCAGTAGAACCTTATTAAATCCTTATTAAAAATATTTCAAATTAGGAATCTCATATACATAATCTGTTTAGTTCACCTATTCAATTCAACATAGCCTGCTTCCTTCCCACATCTAAAGCTATTCCTGTGCAACTTTATACTCACTAACAAYTTACTGTGACAGAATTACTAATTATGTCTCCACATAGCCTTTTCCAACAGGTTCTACATCTCAGCTCCTTTTCAGTTCAGAGTGGAAGAGACTGTGAAGCATCTCACCCCAAATAGCAGTTCATTTTACTAATCAATAAACCCTTAGCCAACTCTGTGAAAACTCAAAGATGCCAAACTTAAGTTMAGTCAGTTCGGGAGATATCTTACATCTACCATAGGTTTTCCTTTCAAGCCAAAACAAATTCTACAGATATTATCAGTGAGTACATATGCAAGCAATTAACAAAGCAACACAACAACTAGGACCTGAACAGTAATATTATCATCCAAAAAACACATTAGGGAGATTAGATGCAACTAAAACATAAGCCATGCCAAGTTGGTCTTGCCATATAAGGGTGAAGAAATTAAAAAAAAGGAAATAATTAATTCAGAACTCTTCCAGTACTCTTTCAGAGGTATAAAAATGAGACTAATAAAACACTAAGCCCCAGAAATGTTCCTGACACTTGTAAATTACTTTAGCAAGAACAATACAACCTATTTCTAACTTGTACTACATTGGGATCAATTTGATTTGAAAACAAGCATTTTTACAGATCTAGAAAACTTTTTTATTAGGAACTCTGGTATCTGAGTTCTTGCGGCTTCCCCTTGAATAACAAAAGCAATTCAATCCATGTTTTAAATTATAAAGTGACAAGACAGAAAAATTTTGAATAAAAACTTACTTTAATAATAATTTTTTCATAAGAGTGCAATTTGCTTTTTGCATATAGAGTTCTTGTTATCCCAGATTGGGCAACAGTAGTTTTTAACATCAAACACTAGCTCATAAGTATTTGTCATGACAGAATACAGTTAAGTTAGTCCTGTGCAATTGCAAGAATTTGTTCTTTCATTACATTGTAGCAGCAACTGSAGCGTTCTCAAATTAACTAACAGGCCCTTTATTTTTCTGTTAACAGATCTGTAAGATACACTTCACATCTTTCAAAGATTCGGTAACTACTAAGCACGGCCTATTTCCTTCTAAACTCCTAATCTTCTATCTTGCTACCTATGGCTTCTCTTAGAAAATATAAAATAACCTGGAAAACTAAGCATAATTATAGAGTCCTGAACCTTCCATACCAACACAGCATATACTTTTACACAGTCAAATGAGAAAAGTCAGTCTGAACTACTGCATTAATATCGCTGATTTACAGAACAATGCAAGCAAACCCGATAAAACCTCAGTGGCACATGCTTCTGAAGACGCTGGCACTGAAGTTCAATGCATGGAATACATTGTTACAACTTGCTGGAACACCTTACTTAATGTTTTCAACATGATTAACAGGCTGCTCCTTTATCCACAGGCTAGACAACATGAGAAATTTTTTACAACATTGAAACGTCTCCAAAAGGCTTCTGAAGATTTACTCCCAAGGACAGTAAGCCAGCCACTACAAAATTGCTGCTAGGCTGTTACATTAATTTTCTCACATTCAAGCAATGCTTGACTTCATACACAAAATGTAATGGTATCCTAAAGAAATAAAATACAAAATATTTTATAAAATATATCAAAATGGACCTCAAGCAGATAGACTACTATGCATCTTCCAGAGCATAATCCAGGGCACAGAATTTACATCAAGGGTTTTCTACAGCAAGCTGTGTGCTGCACTAGTGTTTTCTAAACCAATTGGTATAAAAAGAGATTCAATTTGCACTTCAAMCTCTGCTTCAGGCACATCACAGATATTTTAATCAGCCTCTGGTCCCTCCTACTTTCTCAACCCTACAGATGCTCTGAATTTCATCTAATCCCGGTTTCAAACATGCAATTGTAGCAGTCTCAGTTGCAAGTATGATCTTGCACTGTGCCTTGTACTAACTCCAGTAAGAAAATAACATTTAGAAGTGAATGCACAGCATGCAGTTGTTTACAGAATTGCTCTGATTCTGTCTTTCTATTACATTCAGCACTACTCTGTCAATAATACTGATACAGAACATTGACACCATTATAACCATCATATTGTTGCAAAGATTCAGTAAAGTGGTTACATCTTTTCATAAATTATAGGAAAACTCTGTTATTATGGTAAAGGTCATAACATAGCTGCACTCTCCAATAAGTTTTGCTCACAATATTTCTGTAAAGTTTTCAGGTGGAAAAACTGCATGGCCAGTCTATATTCATGATGGCAACCACTGCCACAGCAAGTCAGGAATGTGCAAACCATCTCAATAGAAACACAAATGGTGAATCAGTTACATTTAGCTGCCTAAGAGAACCAATAGCAGAAAAAAAAATTATTGCAAAGGAATGAAAGGTACTCACTTTTACATTCTTGATGTTTTATTCCACTTACTTTACTTTTAAAGAACATTGTAAAGAGTTATTATGGCTAGGATCAGATTTAAATTAAGTGTCTTTGTAGACTCGGAACAAGCTTTACTAAATCACTTTTTCTGCTCTACATTGTAAAGGAATCTTTAAACAGAAGATTTAATTACAGACAATCTTTTAATAAATACTACTTAGCCTTAAACATTATGAAATATTACAACACAACAAGGTACTATCATGAACTGAATCCAATCCCATCCATTTCAGTCTAGCAGCTATAGGATCAATGGACATTTAACTAGCAGAAAGGCACTTTCTTGCAATGTTGTAAAGTTATTGCAAAATTTTCTCCAGCAAGGTCAAATGAAGAAGCAGGCAGAATAAGATGGGAAATGCCTCAACCTATCAGGAGACAAAGAACAACAGTTCCATAAACTAGAGTCCTTGCTTGTCATCTGGGTTGTTACTCAGTTTGCTTGGTTTTTAAGAAGAATGAAAACTGTGGCATATTTGGAGAGCTATCAGCCACACAGGTGAATGTAAAATACATTAGTTTTGCTGAATACTATATATAAGAACTTCAACTGCAACTTTTAAAGCTTCTGTTTAGATGTGGGCAGTGAAATATTCTGGAAGGAGTAATTCATGATTTAAATGGTAAGACAGTTCTCTGGGTGTGATGAGCAAATAGTCAGGATCTATATATTACTTGTTCTCTCAGCTTTAAATTTTAACTTCTATCTAAATCCACTGCTATCTTGGCTAGCTTCTTACCCTTTAGAAGATATTTTTGTCACCCATATTCTTGGTTTTGCCCTTCTGCTTTTCAGATGAAATCTAGTAATTATCTGCTAGTCTACACCACTCTGAAAAGCAGCTTATTACTTCGAAAAATATAGTACTTGAAGGAGTCTGCTAAAATCTAGTACAGATAGCTTAGCCCAGTACTGAACAGCATGAAGCTTTAATGGTGCTTCATACGACATCAAAATACTACAGCCACCTGAGAATTTGAACTCACTTAAGGATTTTCTAACTGTACTGCTTGCAAATGCTTTTARAATTTTCCGGTGAGTTAACTGAAATCTGGATTGTGTAGCGCCTACCCAAAGCAACTCACTAGATGCTGCCCAATTCTGTAATAATGCTAGATGCTGCTGATGTATCCCAGTCGCTGGACTCAGGAGACAWGTCATCGGGCCCACAGTCAAAGCAGTACTGTTTGGTGAATTAAGACTGCACAGTTCCACAGTGAATGATTTTAGAGTCACAGTCTCACGTAATTACCCTACGTTTCTTCATAATTATATTCTATTATCAGAAAGGAGAGAAACATTTCCACAATTGCTATAATTTAAGACACTATAAAATGTCTTCAAGTGACTCTCTCTGATGCTGATCAGTCACATTCATTCTCCTAAATATTTTTTGCAACAAATGAACTGTTCCAATTAATTATGTTCACTAAAGATGCATTCTGCAAACAAATCACAGTTTCATCAATTGATGTTTTATATGCTTATCAGGTAGGTAACTTTCACTTTTAAAGTAACAACCAAAATGTCTAATGCAATAACGCTCTCCTTTTCCAAAAAACAGAATGTCGACTTATCAACTAAGAAAACAACTTAAAAAAAAATTTGTATCCTCCTAATTTATACTATAGGTAAAAATGTTAACTTACCAGACTTGTGCTTCTTATGTTTTGCTTTCTTTTTAATTATAAATAACTTGTTCTGGATCTCAGATTTATATGATTTAAATGGATGAAGATGAATCTCACGCTTTCTTTGCAAGTCATCAAATTTTCTCTGTAGATTTTCATTTAGAATATCCTTGAACTTCTTTTTTTTCTTTTTCTTCTTTTTTGCCAGCATCTTTATTAGTTTCTTGTTATTTTGCAGTGAGGTCTCTAGCACTGTTTCTTTAGCAGATTCCTGGTAATTTGTGTCTTGKTTGTCATAAGTGCCATTGACATGCATTTGGTAAGCTTTCAGCGTGTTCTCTTTGAATGGACTCAGCTCAGATCTTACTCTGGCCATTTGAGTGCAACCTTGTCCATTCTCCACTTCTGTTATTTCTTCTGAACTAGGGTGACCATCCATATCAACAATTGCTCCTGAAGTAATYGAATTCCTGAAGTTTTCTTTGTAACAACCAGGTTTTTCAACTTCACAGACTCTTGAGGTTTTTATTTCACAGTCAATCTTCACCTCCTCTGTAGTGACTCTATAGCTATCTAAATGGGTGTTTTTTTCTGGACATACAATGGAGTCCATACTTTTCTCTCCTTCTGCCTTGGAATGACACAGCAGTTCTTTGCCAGCAGAACTGACCTCCCCATTGCTTTTGCTTCCACATTCATGTTTAACTCTTTCCGATTTAATACGTGGCACTTTTTTGACTTTGATGGGAAGAGGTGGGAATTCAGGAGCCTGAAAAGGTTTCTGTTTGTAAATTCGAACATCTGCACCACAGAACTGCGGAAAGTGAACATACGCATTCTCCAAGCAGTCATAACCAAGAATTACTTCTCTGCATTCATGGATAGGCTGACCTAGTACTGCATCCTGAACATCCTTTTGTGTTTCATACACAAAGTCACAGAGACCTTTAAGCAGCCATACTTTTTGGTAGAATGGTAGCTCATGAAATGGTTTTTCCTCCAAAGGATTAACTTCTCCAAGCACTTTGAAAAACTGGGGACACAATCCAAGTTTTTCTGCAGCACCATTAGGATTGTCAGTCTGCCCTACAACAGTATACCAGTGTTGCACTTTCTTTCTGAGTGCTGCTTCCCAAGTCCTGTAGGAAAATGTAGGCCTGCGATGCAACGTAGCTCTACGATGAGGAGGACTTAACAACGAAGTCATTATTTTAGATAAAAAAACATTACACTGAGGCATCAGAAGACAACGCTCCAATTCATAGAATACTATTTCAGGTAAATTTAGAATCTGTTGTGCTAAACAAAGAAAATGACCAATAGCTGGAATCTCCCACATTGTCTCCATCCTTGTAGGTGCTGCTTGAGCTAAAAGTGTTTTTTCCCATTCTTCTATTTCTTTCTGACTAGCTTCTTCTGCTTCTTTTCTTTCTTGATCTCTCTGCCTATTAAAAGAAATTTCATGAAAATTCAGATATTAGGCAAACAAAAAAAATGAGGGAGAAGAAAAAATCAGAACTACAGTATGACAAACATCTTGAAATAACAAAGAGCACATGCATAAAGTTTTACTCAATTTGTCTTACTTTGCAGTACATAACACATCACTGGACTTAAATGCAAAATTGTATTTTTTTGTTTCTATCACCACTAGTTTAAAAAAGGGAAAAAGGTAATAAGAGTCTGGCATATATCAACAGTTTGAGTTGTTTAGATTTTTAAGTTTAAAAAAACATACATTTTCATTTTCCTGATATACTTATCAGAATTAAGTATTTCCAACAAACTATCCATATAAAAACCTCTGAAACAAATTCCAGGTAAATCTTGTTTTCAAAAGGTCGCCCTGTGCTCATGCAACCTGCCTCGCACCTCCCTTCCTCTGAACACAAGTGCTAAGTGCTTCACTTACACGCATGAGAGACCTTTTCCCTCCCACCCAAAGGTGTGTTACTAACCAATTTGCAATGGTGATCAAAAAAAACCAAGTATCAGGATGCATGAAGAATGTGACGAAAAATAACACCAGAAATAAAATGTCATTACATTAATTGGTTTGCCCTCACCTGAAAAAATGTATTCAGTTCTGGTCCCCCTATCTAAAAAAAGGATAGAGCAGAAATAATGTGTATTCAGAGAAAGAGGTTATCAGTAATCAGAGGCTGAGTAATTTGGGAGTCCACACAAAATACTAGCAAGAGCAACTGTGATAGCAATACGCAAACTTCATATGATAGACTGGGAACTTCTATTTGCTTTTATTTGTAAATTCATAATTAAATTTAAGGGCAACAAGTGTGAGAAAAAGAAATGCTTCCATTTCAAATAATCAGCGTAGTTTACCATCTAAGATATAGCATATGTCAATTTTGTGCCAAAGCAGAAAATTAGAAATCTGCATTAATCACATGAATATCGAAGGTTACAACAGAAGGATTTTTTCTTTAATGCTTACTTAGTATTACTTACTAAAGTAAATTAACATTTTGCCTGAAGGTATGACCAGGTTCCAAAAGATAGCATTCAGATGCAGCTATACTTACAGAAAAAAATTTTAAAGGTCATCCTAAGAGTCTCCTATCTTCTTTGAAGCTTTTATCACTGGTAGAAACTACCACCTAACTCTAACAAAAATGTGACCTGCTATCAGAATTTACATATCCTTATTTCCGAATTGCTAACCTCCAATTTTATTYCTTCATGAACAAGTAACGAATAAATGTCCATTCAAAGCATCAATGCCTTCCAAAATTCAGCAAAGGAGTAATGATAAATTGTTACTTTTAACAACATGAAGCTAATAATGGCTTTTAGCTTGAAGAGGATATATTTGAAGCATTAAATATTCACTATTTCAACCATGTAAAAAATGCAATAAACTTATCTTAATCCACATTTTAGTATCAGCACAGGAGAAACAAGCCTTGAGAATGCAAAAAACCATAAAATACAGTAAGATTCCAATGAATACTTTATCTTCTATAAGCAAATTAAATGTTCAGTTCAGACTTACTACTATAGTTTGAACAGAAATTTTTTATACCACATGCATGTATTCTTGTTATTTATGTATCTAGTAAGTTTAGAAATACAGATTCATGTAAAACATAAAAGGTAAAAGCAAACAGGTCAGTAAATTCTTAACTTCAGTCTCCCAATGGACCACTAATTTAAGAATACAAAGGATGGAATATAAAGACAAAATCCCAYCTTACAGCACAAAATTCTATTAGCCATTCTTGGTGAATAAACCACTAAATTCAACAATACTACGACTACTTTACAATAGGTAAAGTGGGCATTAGTTTCATTCTGATTTATGCTCTATTTCAATGTGCTAATATTGCATTGATACAATAAATAAAACCAACTGAAAATAATAAATAAAAACAACTAATGTCCAAGTGAGGCAGAGGAAAARTGATACTAAGCATAAAGTGGTCTCAAATACAAATTTCATAGCACTCTTATATCCCACTCCTGCATTTTTCCTAAATGTAAAACTCCTTATTATATCTTGCCTCCAAAAAGTGTGAACTCTAGTAATATAGTATGGAAATGAGACTAAATAATGAATACACAATGAGATGGAACATATGTAGAAACAATAGAACTTCAGTATCAGTTAATTAAAAAACCTGTATATGATCCAAAAATATCTTTGCAAGCAGTTTCAACTTCTTATGAAGTAATACTTTAAATCAAGGTAGAACTATCAAAATAGATGCAATACCCTAGATTCACCTCTGTCTAAATAAAATGCCAATTATACCACTTTAAGAATGTTTAAAAAGAAAAATGTAAATTATTTCACTTGCAAAAAGTTTGCCTTGTTTTTATGTTGTTGTTTAATCACAGTATCTGTTGTCATTCCTTCTCAGCAGACATTCAAGAAAAAATGTAAATAGCACACTCTGTTATCTTCATTACTGAGGTCTTCCTGCTAGCATCTTTTGGAAAACACAGCTTTTTCCTGGGGTGGTTTTTCCTCAGAGGATAATGGGGAGTAAAGAGGGAATAGGAGACAGGGCAAGGAAGCAGGRGTGAAAGAAGAGGGGAACTGGGAAGGAGGATAATACAAAGACATTTGATATTTTAGTGGCACCAATATCTTTGTACTGAGAAATTCTCTGGGCATATATATTTGGCTTTTATGCTGACAGCAACTGTAAAAAACCCTGTTGTTTCATACTTTTATTTACATTTACCAGAAGCATGTTTGCAGACATGTAGACTTAGAGCAGTAACACAGAACTACTCTAAGGTGAAGCTGACATTTCTATACTTTGAACGGCCATATTGGTAGTACACAACTGCACCAGTTGTTTTGCAGCTCTTGAGTGGCATCTGACCTTAAAACTCAGCAAACACGATACACAAGTGGAGAAAACACCTAAAATAGAGTCCAGRCATAACTCCCTACTCCTCTCATAATTTTTTCCGTTATTAAAGACCACTGACACATATCACCAGTGAATTCTTTCTTGCTCGCAACAAGAGATTTCTTGGCGGGAAAAGGAGACAGACTAGATTTTACTTTGTTCTTCCAATTACCACTTCTAACCTGCTTAACTGTTGATTCATACGTAAAAGGTCAGACACTGGAATGGTGACAAGACTAAGAGAACTGTTTTAATTCCTGAGTAACTTGTTTCTATGAACTTCCTTGAAAAAAATTAAACAGAAACTTACATACAGATTGGTAATATTATGCTTTATTCTAAATTAAGCCAAGATTTAGTAGTTAGAAGATATTAAACTTGGAGATGCCATTTAACCTTAATTCTGTATATCTAATATCTTACATTATATTATTACATACTCTGTATTTTTCCATAGGATATAGTTAATTACATGCTAACATCTTAATAAAAAGCAAAACTAACTATATAAGCATACCTTATTCCACAACTTCCTTAATTGAATTACTGACTTGCAGTCAGATTTCAATTCTTTAAATGTTTTAATGAACATGCCTGAAACTTATCCCAGGATCACATTTTCAGAGATGGTAAAGACACTAGCATAATTTTCAACAAACCCAAGCCATACAGACTCCTAATTCCCACCGAAATCAACCAGTTAATTATCTGCCATTCATTGGCAGTTTTAAAAATTTCAGCAGTAATCTACTTTTACGTTTCAGTATCTAACTAGTCAAGCATATCCAATTATAAAATCATTCCACAATTACTTACTACCAACAAATATGTGAACTAGTTGATGTTACTTAGCATGAAACCAAGCAGCTGAGTAGAAACTCACCAAAATGTAAATAATATTTCAAAGAAGACAGTCAATATTCTGATAATTACAATAACTGAACAAAAGGAATGTTTATAAACAAGACTGACAATAAAAGTAAATCAGTACCTATATGTACTTTGGAGAGAAAAAGTGCTTTTGCTGCTGTACAAAATGTACCAGCTGCAAAATAATGAAATCAGCTTTGCAATGATACCTTCTCAGTTTTCACATGTTGAGTAACATGTAACCACGAATGTGTCACTTGTGGAAAGTTATAAAACTTTATATAAAGAAAAAATGAAAATAATTGTGCAAGAAATGGATAACTTACAAGAAAAAGAGAACTCTCAACAAAGGACATCTATATAACAACTGGAGTAGGATTTTCCTGAAGTTAACTACAGAGAGAAGATAAAAATAAAAATCCCACCTCAGGATGTTCTTCCAAAATACACAACTGACAAAAAGCTTGCAAAATCAAGTTCAAGGATTTTATGGGAAAGAAATAATCACAAGCTATTTGAAGGATTTGACTTACTAATTTAATGTGTACATTATTTTTATCTCTATATAGTACAYGTTATATTTATCTATATGCTCGAGTATTTTAAGTTTAATTTTAGTTTTATTCAACTCTCATCCTAAGATGCCTGTGTATTACGAAAGAATCCAAATATCTAAAGCAAAGAATTAGATATAAACCTGGACTTCAACAGACAATTTCTTTAGATATGAGGCTAAGTTTTGTAGAAAAGGCTTTGCATTTACAGCCTTACTTATTTGGGACTGAAAGCATGCAATTCTTAAGACATTCTAAACTAAGATAATTTATGGCTAGTAAGTACAAGCACACTGAGTGGCCCACTAGCTAGATGGCCAGAAACAAAGCACTTTTTTTATGTTCCTAATAACTCATCTGAAAGTTGGGTGAAAGCAGATGCTGCCAATCCAAACATCTGATTTGCCAGCCTGGTGCTCTCATGGTGCAGCTCATATGTAAGGCTGCAAACTTCCTACAGTTTAGAAAGTACCTCTTCTGTGCTAACCTCAGTGTATCAGATTTCTAAAAAAAAAAGGAAACAAAAAGCAGAATAACCATTTTTCCATCATAATAATACAATATATACTTTAGCAATAAGCCAAAGTAAGTTTAGAAAGTAGCGATACATTTTTTAATAAAAACAATGTTGAAAGTATGTGTATTCAGACAGGTACCACTCTGAAAATTTATATAGACTGTAAAATGTGATCTTCACTGGTAATGTATAATTAATTTTATAGGCTTTCCAATCTCCTAGCCTTTTTGATAAATAGCTTGAAAAAAAGTACTTTTGGAACATTTTTAGTGAGTTGGGAAACAATTCGTACAGAAAGGTGAAAACTACTTTGAAAACTTTATGCAATTAAGAAATAKAACTTAGAGAAAATAGCTGAAGCATGATTATTTCAGGAGATCAACAGTCACAGAAATATTAAAACATGATACTATCTACATGATGAATCTATCTACTGACAGATTTTTGCTGCTTCTTAACAAGTGGTATAGCTCAAAATCCTCTGTAGAATCAGCCATCCTTTGCACAGGATCTGGGTCTTTAGAGTATATCCAGTTCCATGGATTTAACAGTTAATTAGCATAATTTTGTAGGACTGTGCTTAAAACAGGCAAGCATATGAAAACGTAATTTTTATTTTGCTTGGTAAACTGTTCTACAGACTCTGTAGATTAATTAAAATCCAATCAAAATTTCCTTTTTCATAACAGAGTTATCAAGTTCTGAGGTCTAGAATACAGAGCTGAGCAAAAATGAAGAGAATTTTACCAGAAAAACAATAACCCTAGTGATTTTTTTTTTCTTCTTTTTTTTTTTTTTTTTTTTTTTTTTTTTGCAAAGTGTGATTAGAAGATTGGTGGAATGGAAGCAAGAAGGAGGTTCTAGGGAAAAAAAGTACTGTCTAACAGTCAAGCCAGCCATATAGCTTCAAATATGTTGAAAATGAAGATTACCTGCAAAATTAAGAGTGAACTGGTTACATATAGGAAAAGTCCACAAAGCTGTAAACTTTGATAAAAGTTAGAAACATTTTGCTTCCTAAAGAAAATACACTTACCATTGTGCTCCATGTTTAGACAGAATCACTCGAATTATGTTTAAGTGTACAAGCATATAAGCTTCATTTTCCTCAAAGTGAAACATATTAACATTAAACACTGCCTGGAACTATATAAGCTAAAATTTATGAAGATCACAAATCTCAAGAGTTATTTACACATACATTCTAAAATTGTTACCAAACTGACAAGCTGAAACGCCACATCAGTGAGGTAACAGCAGTGGCACTGGAAGAGATAATCACATCAGTGAGGGAAGCAGTGGCAAGATCCTGGAATTAGACTGTAGTTAAGCATTCTGGTAGTTTTTAATCTAATTGTTACATGAAAAACAGTCCAGGGATACATATGACAAACCATGAGTGGCCTAGGAAGAAATTACAGTGGATGCTTTTAGTTTGTATTACAAGTTTCAAAAAAACTAAAATGAGAGCAGCTGTCACTTGATTTAAAGCTTCAATTACCTCTGCCATTTTTCAAGACAGTGGTGCTAACTTTTTGCTTTGTGGATGTACTGTATTCAGTCATGAACTTCAGACCGAAAGAGCACCACAACATTTATTTACCTAAAAAAGCCATTAAGGAGCTAGCCTCTTTAGAAAACTAGGAAGACACAGCGATTGAAAACTAAAACAAAACAGTTTTTCTTATTACCTCTTTTCCTCTTTTGCTCTCAGTTGCTCCTCTTGTCTTAGAACCTGAACCATCACAGACTCAAACATGCCTGTTGACAAGCCCACTAAGCTGCGAGGCGTGGAACGACGTCTTGTAGAAATGCATGCTGCTGCTTTCTCATCCTCCTGCCCACAGCATCCTCTAGACGTTACAGCTAATGATGTTTTTTCTCTTAAATGCCTAGAAGAAAAAAGCAAGACAATTCACAACCATGTACTTCCATACCAATGGCACCTTAACGCCTAGCCTACCAATCATGGGTCAAGCACATTTACTTAGAAAAAATCAGTTCTTTTTTCACCTGCCATTTTTTCTACTTTGAGAGTTTCTTCATGAAATTTTAAACCGAAACCCAATGCGCTAATATGACCTATGTTTTCATACCAATGAAAACAGTGTACATTTACCTCAAGTTACCAAGTATTATTTGGAGATTTCATTTTCTATCTTAATCCATAAGTACATAGAAAGAAAAAAATTCCACAAGATCTAAGATTAAAAAGTACCCTTTTTAGCAGATAGCTGAAAATAGAGGGCTAGGGGGAAAGGTGTATTTGTTGGTTTAGGGGAAGTGTATGTTAAATAATAGTTTTGTTCTGTTTAAAACTACAAAAGATGAATGACAAAATACTATAAATTTATCTGCAAAGTGACATTTCCTCTTACATGGTTTCAAGATATTCTATTAATTAATGTCAAAACCTGTCAAAACATTTGATGGACAGAGGAGAAAAATCCCATCTCCTTCAATTCAAAAATAACCTCCATTCTAAGGTAATTTTCTGTGGCTTGTAGTATCCAGTAATTATACAACCAATATTGATTGACTGCCTTGAGTCACTTGATGGGGATCATTGAGCTAAACACTGCTCTGTAACAATGTAAGAATGATTATTCCAAGAAGTTCTTCAATTTCACTTTACAAATAAAATTATGTTAAACACTTCAAACAAATTTGATCAAAAATTGTAAAAGACCTTTGAGACTTTTAGGTTCCATAATCCTTCAAACTTATAGCTCCTAGAACTTTTACTAAGCTAGTGCACACAGATATATAGAATATATCTTTACAAATCTCTGAAGAATTAATACAGGGCAAATTCACTACATACTGAGACAAGATTATTTTTAGACAGATTAATATTTTCTAATATTTATTTGAAAAAGATTGTGTATTGAATGGAACAATTGCAAGAACAATTGAATGTATTTTTTAGTAAATACYTATATTGCTATTTGATAACACATAAACCAACTATACTTTCTCACAGAATTTCTAATAAAAAAGCATTGAACATTCTCAGGTCCTACCCAATCCAGKGAGCAATCATTCATCTCAACAAAGACCATTCAACAAAATGCCCTTCAACACAGTAGAGATGCCACAGTCACATAATATACAGAAATGAACACAGCACAAATCCTCCAAGTTGCATTTTGTTATTTATCTGCCAGCACTAACTCCAGTAAGTCAAGAATTCTGGTATTTTTTTTTTACATCAGGTTTTATCAGGCAGACAAGCAACATTCATGCCCCACTAGGTTCAGCTCCTTCCCTTTTACTACCAAACTGTCCCAATATGGTTGTTACACAGGAAGTCTCAAACTGTTGCTACAACAGCACTGAATACATTCACTCTGCTTTCAAGTGACTTCTGCACCTCCTCTCCTCAAGTGGGGTTGCACACTCAAGTCTTACCAGGTGACAATTCWTGCTCTATGTGTCACTAGCAAACTTAAACCCGATGCACATGCACARCTTCACACATTTCCCAACACTGTTCCTTCTGCATCTTCATCCTTCACCAAAAAAACCTCTTGGTTTTTACAGGCAAAATAGTATGTCATTCAGAAGACCGGTGGGCTTTCCACTATAAGAAGCCACCATGGTTTTCTGATAATGACTTAACTATGCCTACGACAATATCATGAGAAGGCATTTACTTCAGTTGTGTTTTAAACTCAGCTGCTTTGGCCGATAAGCAAGCTTCTGCTAGGGACCTACATTTCAACTCACCACCATTTCCATTTAGCCATTTAAGACTATAGTATGCCAAGCATTGCCTCTCATTCTATGATTATCAAAAAACACACCATTTCGAAGCTGATAACTTCAGCTTAACGTTTTATTTAAAGTTTTATTTCTATGTATTTTAATGGCAGTAAAAATGTCAGATCGTAAAAGTAACAATTTCAAAGAGCCAAATATTCATAGAGAGGCTAGTCATTTTCACAACAAAATAAAATTAAGAAAGAAGCATCTGACATCTTGTGTAAACAAGTGTCCCTCCATGTTCACATAAGGCTTCTTTCAGAAGGAAAATGTTAGCCAGGAAATGCTGTGCTCTATTTGGAATTTCGGCATTTTSAGGTCTGGAATTTCCAAAGCGTTTTGAATTAAGAATTGAATAGTTCCCAGTAGGAAACGTTCGTCTTCATGAAACTATTGAAAGTGCCAGTGTTCTGGGGAGTTTTGTTTGACGTTTRTTTTCTTTTAACGGAACTTTTAACGTAAAGAAACACACCCTCCTGTTTTACCTTATGTAAACTACACGCGGCAAGGCCCCTATAGAGTTTTCTACACCTACCGGGACAGCAGCGCCAACTTCTGCTCCAGCATCATCTCCAGCTTCTGGGCCTGTTTGGAGAGCCAGTGATCCACACCGTGCAGCCGGTAACAAGTCTCCAGCATCAGCCGGAAGTCACACACGAAATCTGCTATCCCTGTGTACTGCCCACTGGAAAATTTCTCTTCCATTTTAAGTAGCCATATTCCAGCTGGCAACTGCTGGAAGGACTGGCTGTTCTTACGGCCAGGGAGGGAGCCAGCGCCTTCCTCCTCCAAAAATGCCTGATCCGCGAGGGGCTTCAGGAACGGCGCCGTCAGAGGCCGGTACTTCTCCAGCAGGAACTCGCGCAGGATGCGGTACCCCTGCTGTAGCTCGGGATTCAAGCTCTGCTGCCAGGCAGTGTTCCCTCCCGCACCATCTCCCTCCTTCTCGGGCTCCTCCATCCCACTCCTAAGGGCCGAGGGCTGATCCTCCGGGAGGTCCCCTTCGGAGTCCATGTCTCCCGTCCCCGGCCGGCTCTTCGGCACCGGCCGGAGACCGCGGCGCTGCGCCTCGCCCGGACCCCGCATCCGCACCGAGGCCACCTGCGCACAGAGACASCACTCAGCGCCCCGCCGCACCGCCCCGCCACGGCCCCAGCCCTGCCCCCGGCCCGGGGGGCGGGACGCGGCCGCCGGGGGGAAGGCACCGACCGGGCTCGCTCGCGGCCCCGCCCGCCCGAGGACCGCGCCCTCGCCCTCAGAGCCCGCCCCCTTCTCCCCGCACCACGGCCGCCGCCGGCCCCGGCGCATCCCGCCCCCGCGCGCGCCCTTCCCGCCGGGCTGGGCCGACACCTCCCTCCGACGGGCGGGCGGCGCGTGCCGGCCCGAGGGGCGTGCGTCGGGTAACGGGCGGCGCGCGCGGCAGCGCGAGCGGAGGGGAGGGAGGGGGCGCGGCCCCCCCGGGCCGGCTCGGGACGCGGCGCCTCTCGCCCCAGCGCGCATGCGCCTGCCCGGCCGACGGCGGCGCGCTAGCTGTGGCCTCGGACGCCGGGTGAAGTGTGACGTCATCAGCGGGCGCCCGGCTCGGAGGCGGCGGGGGCAAGGCGGGAGCGGGCGGTGGGCGATGGGCGGGGCGGCCCCTCAMGGGCGGGGCGGGCAGGCGGCGCTGCTCCCGTGCCTTGTCTGGGCGCAAGGGTCCCGAGACCTCTACTGTGCTGCTCCTGAGGGGTTTCGGCCAGGTAACGCGTCTGTCATCTCATGTCAGAGGTGGGCCACCGCAAGCGTTCAGCTGTCGRAGCGAGGGAGCAGCTCACAAAAGCACTCGGTTCTACATTCGATTCTGCCTGACTTACCTTAGGAGCTGGTGCCCTGTGGCGGGAGGCTGCTGCTCACGACGCTGACCTGGCTGGGGATGCACTTGTAGTTCTTTCACGTTTGCCCAGTCCCACTTACCCCTGAGATAATAAGAGATCCTAAGGGACATTGCCCGGGCATCAGGGAGCTTCGCAGTTGCAGCTGTCTCCACAGTAATGCAAAGCACCTGRAGATAACGTGTGTGTGTAGTTCTGGTTTTATACTTGCCACATTCCTAACTGTACGAAAAGCTGAGGGCACCCTGCTGAGAGAGCGATAGAGAGAATGAAAGAAAGAGGAAAAAAACCCTYTACTTCTGCAGGGGTATTCTGATTCTCTGAGAGATCACTCCAGAGACCTCGCTCCCAAAGGAGTTCTCTTGATGGGAATAAATGCTTCCATGCTGGGGGAAGGTGAGCCTATTTGGAAGGACCTTTGTGCATTGAGACTGTAGTGATCCATGCAATAGTTAACCCAAGTGTAGCCACATGCAGGATGGTCTTCAGGTCGGGGTTGTGCTGTGCCTGTCCCATGGCCACAGGAGAAACTCAGTGCATCCTTACAGCAGCTRTGGGCAGCTCCCACGCTGTACTGGCACCTCTATGACCTTGCCTCTATCTAAAAGTGTGGCAAGAAGTCCTTACGCAAACATCCTCTCTGACAGTAGAAGTGGTGAATAAAGTTGTGATCTCTTATAGCTTGAATGACCAAAATGGGGTAGCCGTGACATAGACAGGGTCCTTGTGATGCGCCCTCATTAGAGACCCATTTGGTGCTGCACTACTCATGGTTTGTAGGGTCTGCAATGCTGAAGGATAACAGTTCTATCGTTCCTTATGATGTCAACTCTAAAAAAACGTGTTTGAAATGATACTTTGTGGAGTCTGAATGCCTTCCTTTTACTGGGACCATAAGGATCAGTATGCCCCACAGAGGGATGCTGTGTTTTCTTTAACAACTGATCTCAGGATCAGTGTTCATCTTGTCTAAGTCCCACTCCAAGCTGAAGGTGGAGGGTCATCATCAGAGGGACAGGAATGGTGGAGAGATTCCAGCAACACGTGGAGATTAAATCGACTCTGGGAAAAACATAGGTGAAGTAAGCAGTCGTCCAAGTTACAGCGGGAATTTCTAATAAAAATTAAATAAAACTAGATTAAGCTGGCGGCTCTTTTAGAATTTTTGTGCCTTTTTTATGTCTGGACTGCAACACGCACTTCCTGGCTTTTTTATACTTTCTGTAACAATACCAGTTTAATAAAAGTTTTTACTCCTTGCTATATGTCTGGTCTTGCCTTGAGAATATGAGAACTTTTAGTCATAATTCTCCATACAATTCATAGGCTGAGTAGCCACAAAATGTGAGGTTCAGAGGTTGTGTTGTGATTGTCTCAGCTACATTCAGATCTCCTGTTGAAAATTGAACTTTCATGGTGATGAAAGAAACGAAGATATCAAGTTTATGCTCTGAAATTAAAATTCAGTGAAGAACAGGGTCACATCTGACAAAACAAGATAATGTCCTTTACTGGGAGCTCTGACTTGTATCACCAAAATACTTGAAAGCAGATATTTTTTCTTGGTATGCAACCAAAGTAGATTTAAAAAAAAAATTACACCGGGAAATATCATTGTTTTGATCTACAAGAACTGTTTTGTGTTTTCTTCTGTTAAAAGAAAAATACATGAGATTCAAGGAATCTTATTACACGCTATCCATGTGCTTCCTGATTTTTGCCACACGAGTGCACTGTTGAATAAACGCCATGTGCCCCATCTCAATGTAACCAGGGTAGAACTGCTGAAGCAGAAGTAAACATTTTGGAAGACCTGTAACTCTGGAGTTTCGTTTTACACAGTATTAATAGGAGCTATGACTCATACATCAGAAAAAATGTTGTCCTGAATAAATAGAGCTGATAAATAGACTTACAATTTCTCTCTGTATATCTTACTTTGAAATATAAGACAGAATAATAATTAGATGAGCCCCTCTGCCTTCATGTTASCACAAAGATGGCAAGAAATTTTGTAATTACAGTATCCACAGTGTCTTAGGTGCATACAGAACAGTGCTAGTGCCAAGCAGATAAAGATATACCATAAGAAAKAAATGTGAGATATACTTGGGAAAGAGAAATCTCCCATATATCATTCACAAAGGACAGGATGATCTTGCAAAGGTAAAGAAACAACTGTCAGACATGACCAGTATCCTTCACCTCTGGTGTGACTTTTCAGTGATGGAGCATTAGCAGGTCATGGAAGTCACATTCAGGGATCTATAGTAAAGAGAGTATTTCAGCATGACAGTGAAAGCACCCACAATTTTTACAGACACCCAATGTAAATAATTTGTGTCTTCCTAAAACTTGATATGGGTATAAATTTTTATCTTATGCCCTAACCTGCTATTTTGTCTTTAGATTTGCTTCTGTTCTGAAATCAGTGTAGACTACAGAAGAAGTTACATTATAGAGATTAAGATGATGAATAGCTGAGCGAACCCCAGCAGTTTTAAGTCCCTGAGTTACCTGTGACCATTTTCTGCACTTAACAAGAGATTATATGTGCATTTGTAAAGATTTATATATAACTCTCAGCAGAAGTGTAAAATATTTACAAAGAATATTTTACTTTAAAGTTCTTAAATCCAAAGGCCCTCTAGCTCAAGTTGTCCTCTATCCTACAGACAACAAGACTATAACATTTTTGTAAAAGAAGGTATTACCACCCTCAAAGAATCACTTAGGCTGGCAGAATTATAATATGCATATTAGGGCACTGGAAGGTTGTTTCCTAACAAGTCAGAACTGCCTGTTTCAGGGTGTGGGTTGGAAAAAGAAGGATGGTCTCTGTATCAGCAGGACAGAACCAATGTTTAGGAAGAAGTAAAATTGTCAGTTTATTTCTGTGAAGGCCTGGATTCCTGTATCTTGAAATCCCATTCTCTGTTTCAGGAGTAGCAAAAGGGGATCAAAAAGTACCTTCCACCTTCAACTTCAGGTTACACTCCRCAAATCAGAATAAAAATCTGTTTTTTATATAATGTACATGCACCCAGCACATAATTTTCTTATGGCAGTGTCATAAGTAGCTCTTAGTTTGCTTTATTCTGCTTCTTTTATTTCATACATTACAGCCAGGGATCCGAACTACAGTTTTCTGCTACTGATGACCTCCATAGTGACATAGAATAGAGCCCACATTGAGGGTCCTTGGAACWCTTCCATGAGGCTGACTGGATTATCACTGCCATCAGAGCTATTTAAATAGTATGCTCAAGTAATTACATGCTCTTTTTGCTTACCTAAAGTAGTGGTAAATTAAATGAATACCAAACTCTACAAAACACAATCAAAGTTCTTTCCATTTACAGAGCTGCCACCTGAAGTTTTCTTCTATGWGATGTACAAAAATTCTTGGGGAAGAAGCAGGGACTCTGGATTGTGAAGAAAAGAATCTTTGTAATGTTTCAAATCAGTTATTTTGTTGATCTTTTTCATCCTCTCACATGTTTTACCATCTTTACTTAGATATTTCTACATTTTAGAGGATACAGTGCTATTTTTTATTACCAATGTTGTCGTCATTGCCACTTAGAATACAAATTGACAGAAAATAAAGAAACCATCCTTGAGTTTCATAGGATGAAAGAGAGAGAYATTCCTCCTTAGAGACATTCCTCCTTTTTTGAGTCCTCAAAGCTGTAAGCTGCTTTACATTCAATTTTCTGCAGCAAATAGTACTGAAAACTGGAGTTCTCCTTAAAATAAGTAATTCTCAACAACTTAAAGCAGAATTAAAATTTTACAACATGTTGCAATGCATCAAAATTTCATTTCTCTTACAAAGACCGTGAATAAGTAGTTTTTTAATTAACATGACACATTATGATCCAAAATTCTGTTATGATGTCTTTTTAGAACTAGAGAAAGAATAAAGCCATTGAGAACATTTAAATGTTTTTTTCTTGGTTTTCTTGGTTCTGATTGCCTTTGAAGTCTATGAGCTAGTTATGTCTGATTAGACTTACAAACCAGGCTCCTCCTGAAGAGCAATGTGGTGGAACTTGCCATCTTTATTCTAAAAGTTAGAAGCTGTATATTCTTTCCCCTTTTTACTTTTTATAGTTCGTGTACCAGTGCACTATTTCGCTATACCACTGCATTGAAATAAGTTTTTAACACGTCCATATGTGACAGGAAGAACAGATGTAGTTCTAACATTTGCTACTGAACATTAAAACAAATCTCAGCTGTTTCCCTGTGTATTGGTGCTGTACGGATAGGAAGTTACTTTGCTACAATACCTTTGCATTCTTCC